GCTCTTGGTCTACTTCTTAATAGAGATAAGGTAATTGATCATAAAGCAGTATTTTATTTATTTATTTTTTTTTGAGAAGCTATATTAAATGTAAATTTTATTAAAAAACATATATGGTTCAGTTACTGTAATACATTAATATTTATCAAAATAGTGTACAATCGTAATGCTAGAAATAAAAAAATTTATGTAAAAAGTTAAAGATAATGTTTTTTATACTGTAATTTGAAATATAAAGATCTGGGGGTCTAAATTACACCAAATTTTTTAATGAATATAAAAAACAAGGATACTACTTCCAATCTGAAAGAAGTTGTCCAGTTGTTTTGTAAAATCTGGCAAGGCAGCAGATTTTTGACTTAATCAAAATTAATCGAAATTTAGAGTTATTATCATCATGATTAAACTCTAAGTGCTTATAAACAGCAACTGCTTTCTTTATCAAATGATAGAAACCTTTAGAAATCTCAGGTGCTAAACTTTGAAAAAGTGAATAATATTATTGTTCAATTGATTTTTATTTTAAAACAAAAAAAAAAACCTACCATAACACATCAAGATTCGTAGAATTTTGTTTACAGTAATATTTCTAGTCGGTCTAATGTTATACATGCCTTGAAGATTTACAGCAATTTGCGAGGGTGTCATATCTTTTTTTGCAAGGTTTAAAATTTGTTCACAAATGTTTTTGGGTGTAATATTTACTCTTGAAGAGGATATATATCGAAATGAAGTGATGTTAACAGTATCTTTATCAGAAATAAATAAGCAACCCATTTAATAGTTATTTCCTTTATTTATTTATTTATTTAATCTTTTCTCAAAAAAGAAAGATTACATATAGAAGAAACACTAGAATTTTTTTTTTTGTGTATCTCTATATTACAATCAAAATACTTTACTTTCTATTTAGCTTCTTTTTTTTTTGTGATAAAGCATAATCACACCTATTCACATATTTGCAGATCACATATAATAAACTTTAATAATGAGTACAAAATGCTGTACGATAATTCAAAAACATAAAATAAAATAAAATAAAATAAATACTGTCTTCATTTATTCATCCGAACCACTAATTAAATCATTTACATCAAAATTTTTATTACCATGTATAATATCTTCACTCATATTTAATGATTCATTAGACTCTAACTTAGAAGATAAAGATATGAAGTTTTTAACTTTCAAATTTAACAAATTTTCACTAACAAGATCTTCTAGTTCTTCCGAAGAATCGGTCGCATTGTCTTCTGTAAGTTCTTTAAGAACAGAGAACAAATCATCCTCACTAAATAAGTTGGTACCATCTTCTATGGAGCTTGCAATTTTATTGAAAATCGACAAAAAATCCTCTTGACGAAGATTTGGATCAACATAGTTGAGTTCTGATTTAGTGTTCTAATTAAAAATGAATGCATCTTGGCCATAACTTCCAAATGTTCGATACTTAATCTAAAAATACTACTTATAATTAATTATATAAAGTTGGGTGAGAACTATCCTAACTTATATGATCCGATTAAATTTTGATTTATTGGGTAGTCTTCATGTAAAATCATGATAAATATTAAAGAAAAAAAATTAACATGCCTATCTGTTTTTTTTTGAAATACTAGCCTAGTATATTAAAGACTCGTTCACAAGCAGCATTATGGGGAAGAATAAAATATATTTGCAAGGCAAGGGTTTTAATATGATCTTCATTTCTTTTAAGATCGACTGAAGTTCACCAATTAGTAACAGTATCAACGGATGAAATAAATTTATCATCAAAGGGAGGCTCTTGGTTTTTGTACAAGCTCATCTGAGTTTTCAAAAGGTTAGCACTTGTTCGACTACTACCCACTTGTTTCTATATTTCTAGCGCTTTTTTAAGAACATGATTTTTATATATACCGGGCTCAAGAAAATCACCTATTTAAAAAAAATAATAGTCAATAAAGTAAAAGTAGCATGCTATGCACATATTAAACTTATAAATACCACAATAAGCTGGGTGTAAAAAAAAAGCTAGAAGATATAATCCTGTATCAAATTCTTTCTATCACTTGTTATAAATAGCGATACAATCATGCTGAAATTGGTTATTATATAGAACTAAAATTTCTTGAATTGCAATTGCCATTTTAACTAGTTGAACAAATACATCTGCAAACAAGTTCAAAACTTTAAGCTTTTAACAGCACATTTTACTGGACCAAGAATATTTCGTAATTGCTCAACATCAATCCAAAATTGACAGTCATTAATTAAGTTTTTTACAGCATTTGAACGATTAAAAATCTGAGGTTCTTTTTCTAAAACCTATTAGAAACAAAC